ATATATATATGACAGCCATCACCAGCATAAATGCAACAGGAGCACACCATGGTTGTTCCTGGCTTGAGTTTTCTGGAGGTGAGCAAGGTGCTCCGTTGGTCTTGGAGGGACTCACTTGAGAATGCCTGGGGGTTGGCTGTGTCAGCTACTCTGACGTGGTTTTGGATGGAGCATCTGGGCCGTTGTGGCCCTGCTCTTTGTACCTTTCATCCTTCGAAGGATTTCAAGGTCCTGGAAAGTCCGAGGCTTAGGTGAACAAGTGAAAATGTGCTAGCCTCTGCCGGCTCCTGTCACTTTCATCTCATTCTGTGAGCTCAAGCAGGTTACCTGGCCAAGCCTGATGTCAGAAAAGCAGGCATGAAGTTCTGTGGAAATGGACCTAGTTATAGGAGGAATGAGAAATCAGACCCTTGATTGTAGTTTTCTGGTATGATTAAAGCCCTTATTTTATACTAATTTTTGTTTTTCTTTTCAGAGACATTTCACAGTGTTTGCATTCAACTTTCCATCTTTGGATGCACTAAACACCATCTATGGCCAGATCTTCAGCTTCCATTCCCAGCACCGAGCCTTCGGTCCGTCAGTTCTCAGCAGCGGCCCCTCTTTGATCCAGGCAACAGTAGCCTTCCATCAAATGATGACACGGACCTTTTTACCCACAGCTGTCAAATTCCACTATGTTTTTAACCTGAGAGATCTATCCAATGTCTTCCAGGTACCTCCACTACTCTGTGTTATGCTTTTGCGTAGAGGAGTAATTATAGCCATATTAATGCCATTGATTGGTAGAACTTAAGTTTAAAGCCATGCTTTGTAATTCTGGATGTGTTCTTTCATTTTATAACCGTAAACACTCCTTGAAGTAAATACAGTGGGTTTTATCATTCCCTTTTTGTCAATGAGAAGAGTTGTGCCACTCAGGTTAGCTACTATCTTAGACTCTTTGTGCTACTGTACCAAAATACCTGGGACTAGGTAATTCATAAGCTATAACATTTATTTCTCACAGATTTTTGAGGCTGAAATTTTCAAGGCCAATCAAGGCACCCAGTGGTTTGATGTTTGGTGAGAGCCTGGTTTGTGATTCTGTGATGGTACCTTGGGCCAGGACAGAAGAGATGGCAGGTCAAAAAGGGTCAACTTTTATTTGAGTTCACTTTACAATTTAACTATCTCCTAAAGGCCTCACAACTTAATACTATCACACTGGCAATTAAATTTCAGTACATGAATTTGGGGGATAGTCAGATGATGGCAAAGAATGACTTGGCAATAGAAACAAAGGCAGAAATTTGAACTCCTTCAATTGAGAGCCTTCTTTGCTCAAAGTGCCAGATAAGAATAATTGGTCATGTTTCTGCCGTAACCATTTGTATATGATTTTCAAATATTTAAAGGGAAAAGTATTATTTCTTAAATTGCTGGATCCTTTTGTATTGATGTTAAAAATTGAGATTCCTCAAAAAACTAAAGCTAGAAATTCCATTTGACCCTGTCATCCTTCTGGGGGAATCTTACCTTCTAGAGATCATCCCAAAAGAGTTAAAAGCATCATATCACAGTGATACATGCATGATCGTGTTTCTATCAGCACAGTTCATAATAGCTAAATCTTAGAAGCAGCCTGTATGTCCATCAACAGATGTACGGATAAAGAAAATGTATTTAGACACAATGGAGTACTACTGTGCCACAAAAAAGATAAACTTGAGTCACTTGTAGAGAAATTGATCTATCTTGATACTATAATGTAAAATGAAATAAATATGACATACAAGCTTAAGTATCAATCACAATGGATTCTCTTTTATAAGAAATGCAGAGTTAAAGAGCAAAATAAAAGACATAACAGGAAATAGGGAGATAGGTCATTCTCAAATGGGAAGGTAGACCCAGGGGAGGGAGGAAAATAGGTTAAAAAAAGAAATTAAGATGTGTTTTATACATGCACCAACCCACACAAGGAAAGTAAACATTATATACTGCATACATGTACTAAAAAAATAAATACATATGCTATAAATCACATTCTCCCTCAGAAAAAATTACCTTGTTTACCCATGTGTGAGCTTCCTGTTACTATAATACATGCCTGAGATAAACAATCTGTAGAGAGAAAAGGTTTATTTTAGCTCACAGTTTTAGAAACTTCAGCAAATGGTCACTTGTCCCCGTTGCTTGGCAACATGTCAAAGCAGGAGCACAAAGGAGCAAAACTGCTTACCTCATGGCTGGGAAGTAAAAGAGAGGGAAGAGGCCAGGGTCCTACTGTCCCTTTCAGGGATTGACTTAAGGACTTGCCACTGGGTGCCTTCTCTTACAGGTCCAGTAACTCCCTACACCACTGCATTGGTCACCAAGGCTCTATCTCATCAATTTTTTGGAGAACACTTGAGCTAAATTGTATTATCTGGTAAAAGGAGAGTGTTTAATCTGGGATGTATAGACAGTTCCAAAGAGGGAGCTGAAAGGTAGAGATTAAAACAGATCCAACGAATGCGGTCTTCCCTGTGCAGAAAAGGTAGTTAGAAAGTTATTTATGGGCTCAGGTTCTTCTGTGAGGTGAATGAGGAAATGCCACAGGACTTCCTTGGATTCTTACAACTCTCTTCCACTCCATAAATGCCACCAAAGCATAGCACAGAATTAGACCATAGCTTATTAATCACATGGACCATATCTTTCATGTGAATATTTCTAGAACCTTCCAGAAAGACTGTGCTCAATATTGCATTGTTTAAAGCCAGAGTTTTAATTTTAGGAGAAAGGGGAAGAGAGGCTGTGAATGAAATGGGATGTGCTTCTGCTTGCTCCCTCCATCCTGTCAGCTGCGCCTACCATCTCCAAATTGTGTCTTAGCCTTTGCAGCCTAATTCTCCACTTCTCTTTGTGTTCCAAGAGAGCACAACAAGCTGACTGCTCATAAGCAGTGGGTCTGTGTGAACCCAAGATACTGAAGGGGGTTGTGGAGCGGGGATGGGAGTTCAAGTGTTTCAGTGCTAGTTCGACATCGACCCACAAAGTGTGGGTTTGAACATTTCCATTTGATTTTATGTCTTTCATTTGTCACATGAATGGATTAATCTGACTGATGTCAGGGTTTTAAAGTTTAAAAAACATTGTATTCTGTGACTTTGATGTTAGCTGTTTGTCCTTTTAATCCATTGGAGGACATAATAGCTGCAAGGGCTCAGTGGCATTTAGTTCTTGAACTGACTCCTGAAAGGCAATCCTAGTTGCATTCCCAAAAATGAGTGAGTATAATCATAAATGTTTTAGTGTTACTTGTCAAAAGGTAAATGCTTCTACTTGTATATGTATACACATACGTATATTCTTGTTTATATTGCTTTTAAATTGCTAAATTCAGCACAGAGTTAAATATTAAAGAGCTACTTATTTGGAATGTCCTAATCTTCTGAGTTAAAAGTATGTTCACCACGTTTGCTTCATAGGGAATTTTGTTTGCTTCTCCTGAGTGTTTAAAAGGCCCAGATGATTTAATACACCTGTGGCTTCATGAATCCTCCCGTGTTTATGGAGACAAACTGATAGACACAAAAGACTGCGGCTTGTTTCAGAAAAAAATACTGGAAACTGCTTACAAATATTTTGAAGTAAGTATGTGACTGTCAGAAGTCACTGCTTGAGCTTCCACCAGTTAGTCTTGGGACCAAAGTTAGAAAAGGATGTGAGTGAATCACAGGGAGCTAAGCTCCCTGCAGCATCTGGTTTGCAGAGTGTATGAGGTCTGAACGTAGAACATTTGCCTGCCTGCTCACAGAGGATCTTCAGGCTCTTCCCTTGAAAGACACTGTCTTAGTTACTTTCTCATTGCTCATACAAAATACCCAATACCCACAAGTTAAAGGAGGAAAAGTTTGTTTTGGGTTTTTTTTTTTTGTTTTTTTTTTGAGACTCACTATGTAGTTGAGAATGACCTGGAACTCACTATGTAGCCCAGGCTGGTCTCAAATTCACAGCAATCCTCCTGCCTCAGCTTCCCAGGTGCTGGGATTACAGGCGTGTGCCACCATGCCCAGCGAGGAAAAGTTTATTTTAGCTCACAGTTTGCAGAGGTTTCAGTCCATAGTGAGCTGGCTCCAGTGCAGGGTACCAGGGGTATGACAGAGGAGAAACAGTCCTTGGCAGACCAGGCAGAAGGCAGCCAGCAGCAAGCCTCCCTTTCCCTTTTATTCTATTCAGGTTGCAAGCCTGTTGGTTGGTGCCACCCATGTGTAGGGTGGGCTTTCCTGTTATCCCCACCCAGAACTATGCTAAACCAATCAGTGGACTAATTTAGTTAGTACACAGTCATATTCACACATCCTTGATCCAGCCACTCTTAAAAGCCCCATCTGTGAGTACATGAGGCTTTGAGAGGACATCTAGATATAAGCCATGACAGACATCCTGCCTCTTTCAAGATGAATCTTTCTGGGCGGGGACACACATGTTTCTCTTCTACCTCCGTAGGGTCTCAACAGTCACGTGCTGCTTCAGCAACCCCTTGTTTACTGCCACTTTGCTAAAGGCGGGGAGGAGCCATGTTACATGCCAGTGAGGGACTGGGAAGCACTGAAGATGATTCTTACTGAGTCCCTCAGTACCTACAATGAGCTCAATGCTGCCATGCATCTGGTGTTGTTTGAAGATGCCATGCAACACGTGTGAGTTCACCGGTCCATTTGTTTTTTTCCCCAGAATGACTCACAATGCAGTTGTTGTTCTTTACTAGATTGTTCTGAGGTTCTAGCAGTTCTTATTACTTGTCATGCATCACTAAAATATACATGTTGCTGTTAATTATATCCAATCTTCATACCATACATACGCATGCTATTTCCTATGATGTCATAACATCCAGTCAGAATTTCAGCCCTGTTACATAATACTAAGAAAGAGAAACACAAATGACCTGTTCAGAATCACATAGTTGGTAAGTGGCTGAGATAGCACTCAAACTGATTCATGTATTGAGTAGATTTTGTTGAGCGCCAAACAGGAACATGGCCAGCTGTTTCAATGCCTTTGGGCAAAGTAGGGGGAAAAAAACAATAAGGCATGTTTTCTTGGCAGAAAATAAAAGAAAGATGTCATCCTGGGAGACAAGACTTCACTGACAAGACTGTCTCTCTCACCTGTTTGACTCAGGACCTCACATTGTGCACAGATGATACTGGATCTACAGCCTGCTACAACCCTTCCATCCACACTGTTCTCCGTCCTGGGGATACAGCTGCGAGCACCGCAGCCCCGTTCCTTCCCTACACAGGCTTGTGTGTTAGTGCTTCAGACTGACATTGATAAGGACGTGAACAAACCAGCAAGGGAATAAGCAAGGAACATATCAGAAAGTAATAAATTGTTCTGCGAAATGAAATAGGCTGATTCTATGAAACAAGCTACACATTGAGTATTCCTTATCCAAGATTTTGGGGACCAGAAGTGTTCAGGATTGGGGATTTTTTTTTTTCAGATTTTGCAGTATTTGCATATGTGAAGCAAGGCTTCTTGGGGATGGAGCCCAAGTCTAATCAGAAAAATTCACCACATGTATATTATTTTCTTATGCACATTGCCCAAAGGTAACTTTATACAACATTTTTAGTGTTTCGACTATAACCTGTCATGAGAGCTCAGATGTGGAATTTTCCACAAAAAGTGTTAGGTTTTAGAGCATTTATAATTTCAGATTATTGAATAAGAGATGCTTAATCTGGATCTGGAGTCCTGACAAGGGTCTGGGTGTCTATGGGGAAGCTTGGCATTTAAGCTGACGTCTAAATGATAAAAGCAAGAGTTACAAAAATATCTGAAATAGAAAATTGCAGGCAGCAGATTTCATGTGGCTCTGAGGAGGAAATGATTGAGAAACAGTAAAAAGGATCAAGGGAGGCTGCACCATAGGAAAAATAATAGGGCAAGAAATTTATGATGAGGGTAGGGAAGCAGGGATTGCCCTTCCTCGTGTAGGCCATTTCTTTGTAACCAGGTTAAGGCGTCGTGATAATATTCTGAGTGTACCAATAAACTGCTGGGTGAACTTGATTATGAGGATTACACAATCTGTCGCACAGTTTACATGGTGCACCATTGCTGTTGTAGGGTGAAAAATGGATCATGTCGTTATATCCAGTACTGTTCTCCCAGTCCAAGTCACCCTCATCTCTCCCAAGAACTTTGTGATAAATGCCAGTGGGAAAAGATGAAAAGGAAAGGAAAGGGAGGAAGGGCGAAGGGGAGGAAGGGAAGGAAAGAAGAGAGGAAAAGGAAATGAAGGAATCGTTAAAAAGAAGGAAGAATGAAGGAAGGGAATCCAGACAGAAAAACAGATGTGAATAATTCAGTTTTTAGAAATTCTCTGTAAAATGTTTAGCTTCAGTGTTTAAGTAAAATGTTGGCACCTTCCTCAAGATCATTTCTGATGAGCATGCTGAGCACTGAGGGTTTTACTGATCCCACTTCAGTGATCCCCTGATTACACAAACAAAGAGAGTTTAAATTAGAATCCATGAGTATGGTGCTCAGCAAGTTATTGCTAACACTGTCCTGGTTGGTTCGTATGTACTGAGTCCCTGAATGTGCCATGGCTTACATGAAACTCCTGACAGTAATGGAAAGGGCTTTCTCAAAAAATCATTCATCAGGGCTGGGGATTTAGCTCAGTGGTTCTGCCACCTGTCCCACAAGCGCAAGGACCTGAGTTTGATCCCTGGTACAAAAAAAAAAAAATCATTCAACATGGAATTTCAGTGGCCTAACAGGTGAAACTGTTTCTTTGATCAGGGATTATGAACTCCAATCTGATTTAATCAGCATTACAGATGATTTGTAATCATGTCCTACGGTGTCGGAGAAAGGAACATTACCACTTAGCAAATCTTATGAGGTAAAGCCTCAAAGTGTACATTAAAATAAAGTGCAAACTTGGCTTTGGAGTGTGCAGTTTCTCATGCTGTCACTTTCCAAGGCTGTTTCATTGTGGGCTCACGTAAAGTATTTTTGTTGTTGTTGTTGTTATTCTGGGGATTGAACTCAGGACCTGGAGCCTGTAAGGCTGGCTCAATTACACTGAGCTAAATCCCTGACCCATGTGAAGTAAAATTTAATGGGACAACCAAGTGTGTAAAATATCCTGTCTTTTCAGTAACTGGATGTTTTGGGAAAATGTTCACATGAGCTTGTCCTGATTAAGTGACCATGACTTCATTTTTTTTTTCAAAATCATTATTTAAAACAAGTATCTACATGGATCATTCAGGGATGGAAGTTTATTTCAGAAAAGCAACCTCAGGCAAACAGTGTCATCCCATTTTTTACCCTTAAATATCTCTATGCTTACGTTTTGTTTGGCAGATTTTTCTTAATATTTATAATATAACTGAGATACATTTCTTCAGTGTAACCCATATTTCACTAATGTTAAAGCTGATTTATTCATAATGAAAGACATAGCAGTGATATCAGTAGTTTAAGCATTCATCATATCTTGGATACTGTATAATGAGGAATTTGTTGGCTTTGATGGAAACTTAACTTTTTGAATCACTGTTTTCAGTAAATTATTAAACAATACTGTCCGCATGGGGAAGGCTTTAATGTGAAGGATGTGAGCAGTGACTAAGAGGCAAGTGTTTCATTCACATGACTGAATTTCATGAATATGTCTATTGGTCAAAACAGATGCATATTTTCCAAGAAATGGCAGAGCATATATTTCTGGTGCATAAGTATTTACCCTTGATGTCTTTGCACTTGGATGCCGATGTGGAATAAGGATCTTCTAATCAGAAATTTTGATGCCTACTAACAAAGCCTCATATAGATTTCAAAGTATGGAAGTGATAAAACATTGAGTCCAAATTGTTAAAAGCCTGGGAGAGTTCGTTAGACACATAGCTCAAGGGCAGAGAAATTGGCAGCATCTTTGATAGGCAAACATATGAACAAGGACTAAAGTTTCCAATAAAAATTGGAGTTACGTTTGTAAATTTTTAATCAAAAGAAAAAGAGTACCAGAGCGTTTTATATACCACGTCGTGGTGGATGCCTTTGTCTCACTAGGTGTCGCATCAGCCGAATCCTCCGAACCCCTCAAGGCCACGCTCTCCTGATTGGAGTTGGAGGCAGCGGCAAGCAGAGCCTGTCTAGACTGGCAGCTCACATGTGCAGCCTTGAGGTCTTTCAGATCACTCTGACTACAGGCTATAGGATCCAAGACCTTCGGGTGAGTAAGCTTGCCGGACAGTGGTCATAGCTACTGATCCTTAGGAGATTGGCTCCAGGCCTGCCTGGATCCCCAACACTGGAGATGCATACATCCCTTGTAGCACATGGCCTAGTATTTGCATATAATCTGTGCATACCTTCCTGTATACCTTGTCATTTCTACATTCTTTATAATACCCAGTACCATGTAAATGCTGTATACATAGTTGTTACACTGTATTGTTCCAGAAAAAATGACCCGAAAAATCGCTGTATGTTCAATACAGATGCAGTTGTTTTTTCCCAAATTTATTCGATTTGCCATTGGTTGAGTCTGTGGGTGTGGAGGGTCAGCTCTACTTCTAAGCCCTGGTCTGGTGCACAGAGCATAAGCTGGCCGCTCTCCTTGTCCCGTGACTCCTGCGTTTGGCCAAGGCTTCCCTAACAGGAGAAGGAAGCATGTTCCTTAGACGAGCTGTTTACCTTTAGCTGGTCTGCCTACATGGTCAAATTAGTCATAATAAGCTTTATAAATCTTTGTATGATTAATAATATAAACCAGACTCAGAAAATATTTTATTAAATATTTGTTTATATATGTAAATTTTTACTTTGTATTAATCAAAATGGGTGTTCAACAATACTATGAGTGTTCCTGTATGATATGGGGGAAAAAGGGGAAAAAGCACACTTTATTTATAAATACAAGTAGTTTTCTAACCCCTTGGGATAAGAATATGAGAATAAAATACAGTGGGACTATCGCATTCAAGAAACTATTGTGTTTGTGAATTTTTTATTTTTAATCACAATACTGTTTACAATGTAATATTTACAGGTTTCACTGAGTGCTGTTTTAACCTTTTTAAACTACTTGTCATAACCAAATAAGTTAACCAAACCTCTCCTCCGGGAAATAAACAATCCAAGTTGCAATGAGCAGAGAACTCCCTTCCGCTGTGGTACTTGACAAAGGCACAGGCGAATTCATTTCATTCTATTAGGAGGGAGTTGTCACCCATCAGCACTTCGTTTTCATCCCTCCGCTCCATTAAGCCACAGGCTGACACTCATCATTATATGCCAGAAGTGCAGATGATGTCACGCTGCTTTCCCCTGCAGCAGGTCACTGGGAGGAAAAGGCACAGGGCGCTGCTATCGAGTTGCAGTTACTCCCTCGACTCTTCCCGGCACCCATGTGCATACTCCCAGCATCGCATCAGCATTTTAACAAAACATGAGTGATGGCCTCCTTTCCTTACAGGTAGATCTTGCCAATTTGTACATCAGAATAGGAGCCAAGAACATGCCCACCGCGTTCCTGCTGACAGATGCCCACGTTCTAGATGAGAGCTTTCTCGTGCTGATTAATGACTTGCTGGTGTCAGGTGATTAAACCAACACAGTTCTTGAAAGATCTTCCCCAATGACAAATTATCTGTAGTTTCAGTGAACTTTAAAAGGAGATAATTTGTCTCTGAGATGTATGCTGGGGCAGTCCTTGGGGAGAAACCTATAAACCTAACTAATTTGAGGTGTATTGCTTGGTCTGCCTATGGATGAGAAATGCCTCCACGAGGCCTTCGGAGAGGAGTCAATGTTATTCCTACCTAGACGGGCTCATGGTCTGTTCACCATTGCTCAGTCTCATTGTATTGTGTATCTTCTGAATGCAAAAAAAAAAAGAGAGCGAGAGAGAGAAGAGAATGACATTTCTAATTTCAGATTCGTCTCACTTAAGCTGAACTTTTGTCTTCTAAAACATTTCAAACATTAGAAAGTCATACCTAAAATTTAAATTGCAGTCATCTTTGAGTAATTCTGCTCATTCTTTTGCGGGCAGGAGAAATCCCGGATCTGTTCAGTGAGGAAGACGTGGACAAGATAGTTTCTGGAGTTCGTAATGAAGTTCATGCTCTGGGCGTGGTGGACTCCAGGGAAAACTGCTGGAAATTCTTTTTGGCCAGGGTTCGACTACAGCTCAAAGTAAGAAACACTTGATTTACCTCCTTCATGTTAGTGCTGCTGTGAATTTTTTTTCAGCTTTAATTGAGTTTATTGGTACATTTTAGGGATACAGTACAGTTACATTCATTGTTGGGATCTTGTACCTCTACATGACAGGTCTTGGTTCTCATTTTTTCCCCTTACCCCTGCCCTCCCTTCACCCCCTCCTCCCCTCCCCATCTACAAACACTTTATTTTCATCTTTTCATTATCTCACGTTTTTTTCTTTTCCCTTATTACCCTTCCCCTACCCATCCCACCTTCCCTACACCTTTAGCTCGTTTCTTCCCATTTCTGAATGTCAGTAATCTTATTAGGATCTTCTGTATTATTACATATTATTCACACCAGGGAAACTATTCGGTATTTACACATGTATGACTTATTTATTTCACTTAGGAGTATATCTTCAATATGTATCCATTTTCTGGAAAGATATCCCCTGCTCCTGGGTAGGAAGAATCAACATAGTGAAAATGGCCATACTACCGAAACTGCTATATACATTCAATGCAATGCCAATTGAAATTCCAACACTATATTTCACAGAACTAGAAAAAAGAATCCAAAAATTCATTTGGAACCACAAGAGACCTAGAATAGCAAAAGCCATTATAGGCAACAGTCACATGGCACCAGGT